ATTCCTCAAAGCTGATCCCGTGGAAGTACTACCCACTTTTGTGATTTAGACCGCTCTCTTCACCTCCCACTCTGAGAGCAGAGCCAGGAGGTCATCCCTAATCCACTATTTTGTCAAATAATCTTTTTATTTCCTCGTTTATGAAATAATTGTTCAGCAGAAGGTTGTTTAGTTTCCAAGACTTTGTGTAGAAATGACAGTTTCTGTTAGGGTTGATTTCTACTTTTATTCAACTATGATTTTAGAAGATATGTGGTATAATTTCTATTTAAAAAATTTTTCTGAGACATGCTTTGTGTCCTAGGATATGGTCAATCTTATAAAATGTCCCATTAGCTGATGAGAAGAACATATATTTAGTGGGTTTTGGGTAGAAGGTCCTGTAGATGTCAGTCAGGCCCATTTGTTCTGAAGTTCTGTTTAAGTCTATTAATTCTTTGTTAATTTTCTGTCTGGAGGACCTGTCCTGTGCTGTCAGCAGGGTGTTGGGGTCTCTGGCTATTGTGGTGTTTCTGTTTAGATCAAGTAGAGTTTGCTTTATGATTCTGGGTGCACCTAAGTTGGGTGCATACATATTTAGAATTGTTATGTCTTCTTGTTGAACTGTGCCCTTCACCATTATATAGTGACCTTCTTTGCCTTTCATTACTTTTGTTGGTTTAAAAAATAAGTTGTCTGAAATCAAAACCGCCATGCCAGCCTTGTTTTGGCTTCTGTTTGCTTGAAACACTGTTTTCCACCACTTTACCTTTAGTCTAACTGCATCCTTGCAGGATAGATGTGTTTCCTAAAGACAGCAGATACATGGCTTGTATTTTTTTTTATTGATTCAGCCAGCCTATGTCTCTTGAGTGGGGAGTTCAAGCCATGCACATTTATTGAGAGAACTGATAGATGGGGAAAATTTCTGTTCATTCTGTTGGGTTGAACTTTGTTGCTTTGTTTTCTCTCTTGAGCCATTGTGGTATCTGGCCTTTGATCTTTAGCTTTTGAGTGGTTTTACATTTGTGAGTGTTTATTGTGCTGATCCGTGTGTAACTCTGTTTTGAGTACTTCTTGGAGGGCTGGTCTTGGTAAATTCCCTCAGTCTTTGCTCATCTGAGAGTGTCTTTATTTCCCCTTTGTATAGAAAACTTAGTTTTGCGGGGTACAAGATTCTAGGCTGGTCATTATTCTGTTTCAGAAGAGTGAGAATAGGGCCCCAGTCTCTTCTTGCTTGTAAGGTTTCAGTTGAGGAGTGTGGCATTATTCAGTTGGGCTTTCCTTTGTATATTACTTGTTTCTTTCACCTTACAGCTCGTAGAAGGGCCTCTTTAGTGGACATTTTGGTCAGTCTAATGACTGCATGTCTTGGTGTCTTCTGGTTTGCATTAATCTCCCAGGAGTCCTTTGAGCTTCTTGTACCTGGATATCTCAATTGTTAGCAAGGCCTGGGATATTTTCCTCTATTGTATCTTCAAATAGCTTACCCAACCCTTGCGTGTTTTCTCCTTCACCTTCAGTGATCCCCATAACTATCACGTTAGGTTTCTTCACATAATCCCACATTTCTTGTAGGCTTTGCTTTTTTCTCTTATTTCTCTGTTCTATCTCTGTGACTGACTTTTTTAATTGGAAGGTGTTATCTTCAATGTTTGAGAGTCTTTATTCTGTTTTATCTACCCTGTTCTTGATGCTTTCCACTATGCATTGTAGTTCCCTGAATAAATTCTTCATTTCCAGAAGTTCGCTTTGATTTTTCTTTAATATTTCAATTTCTTTAGTGAATTTTTTTCCAGGTCCTGGATTTTGTGTGTGTGTGGTTTCTTTATGTTGGTTATCCCCCCCATTTTTTTTTTTTTGCATGTCATTGAATTTTCTTACAATCCATGTTCGAAATTCTTCTCCTGTCATTTTAGTATTCTGACTTTGGTTAATGTCCGTTTCTAGAGAGCTATTATTCCACTTCGGGGGTGTGCTTTCTGTTTGATTCTTTGTACTTCCAGAGTTCGTTCGCTGATTCCTTCACATCTGGATCAGCTGTAGCTTCATGCTTTTAGAGTTTTGTTTGGATAATGACATGCCCTATTTAATCTCTGAGCCAATAGGTGGTGTTTGTGGGTGAGATTCGACCACACACTGTATGATGAGGCAGTAGATGCTGTAAAAGGGTATGCAGAATGACCTACCTGCTGGTATGTGGCACTTGCTGGGAGGAACAAGCTACAGTGTTGTTTTTGGAACCTTTAACCAGGTTTGTTCCTCTGGAGAGGCACTCTTGTGCCTCAGGTGATGGGTGGGGCCCTGGGACTTCCAGGTGTGTCCTTATGCTCCACCCTAGTGGAGGCAGGTCCCAGAATGAGTCTGGGTGGATCTGGGTTGGGTCAGCCTGCCCTCAAGCACCCCAAATGCTGTTAGTAGGGGTAAAAGGTCTGTTCTCTGCTCTGGGGAAAGCTGCCAGGGAGGGGCCGGAATCACCCCACTCAGCTGAAAAGTCTGTATATCGGGGTGGGGCTGTCCAAGACCTGCAGTTTGGAGCAGGCCTCACTCCTTTCCACCCTCCTCTATTCTGTGGTTTCTCCTGGGCCTCTACCAGCAGGCAGGACCTCACACCAGAGGATCTCCCCTGGCTGTGATGCAGGCCAGGAGGTTCCCTGCCCAGGATTGCAGCCTGTGCTGGGCACACAGTCCTCCCATGGGAGGAGGGTTGCCCCCCAAGCACACTGATCTGCCCCTGAAGGCACACACACCTTAGTAGGCTTGTTCGCAAATATCCCTTCTGTGCCCTGAGCCAATGAAATCGAGACCTGGGTGCACAGGATGTGGTCTTCAGGCCTGTCCCCTGGGCTCTGGAGTTCAATACCTGACCCTGACAGAGAGAGGAGTGCTGGTCTCAAGTCAGCCACGGGGTGCCCAAGCTGGATTGATGTCTGTCCACCTAGGCATTTGCCCCATTCTCCTGGAGTCACCAGGTTTGCAACACCTGGGAGGGCTGGTGGGTAAGGAGCTCACAGTCTGAGTATCCCTCAATCTGCTGTAGGGCCCAAAAGGAAAGGTCCTGTTCCTTGGAGATGCCTCCATGTGATGGCCAAATTGTCTCTCTGGGAACCCATGTGCAGAGAAGGGGAAGGAGACAATGAAGCAATATGGCGACTGCCAATCGGCTTGGGTCTCTGTGGAGGGAGGTGCCCCAAGGGAGCTTGGAGCCTGGTGCCCTGTCTGCAAGAGGCTCACCACTCACTGGCAGCAGCTATCTCTGGGCTGATGTTGGCAGGTTTCTCCAGCCACCCAGGAGCTCACCATCAGTCCAAGATGCAAGAGAGGGGAAAGTAAACTGCTCCACCTACCCTTGTCACTGGTCTCCAAGCCTCTCAGGGGCCTTTCTCCTGCTAGTTCTCCTCCACTACTTCTTCCTGTGGAGTCTCCTGTAGCCTCAGGTACTGTTCCTTCCAACCCTCATCTGATCTATGTTTGTCTGCTTGTTTATTTTTTTTCACTTTTTTCTAAAATCTGTCTTTTTTGCCAAGAGACTCTGGCTCCTGGTTTTTCTCATCCGCCATCTTGTCCTAATCCAGAACTAATTCTCTTAAATCTATTTTGCCTGATAATGGTATAGTTATTCCAACTTTCTTTTGATTGGTATTAATTTAGTTTATCCTTTTTTTATATATTTTACAGTTCATCAGTCTGTGCCTTTATACCTATCATGGGTTTCATGAGTGTATAGTGGGTTTCTTGAAGGCACTCTATAATTGGGTCTTGCTTTTTCATCTGTTTGACAATCACTACTTTGTAATTGGTGAATTTAGACAATTTACATTTAGTATGATTATTAATATGGTTGAGCTTAATTCTAGCATCTTAATACTTTTTTTATTTGGGCCATCTGTTCCTAGTTCCATTTTTCTCTTCTTCTTCTTTCTTTTGGGATTAATTGGGTAATATGTATGACTACATTTTACCCTTATGTTGACTTATCAACTATACTTCTTTGGTTGTGTATGTGTGTGTGTGTGTGTGTTGTTATTTTTGTTTAGTGATTACTTTATGTATACATATTTAACTTACTTCAGTGGTAAACATATTTAACTTGTCATATGTTACCTTCAAATAATATTATATTACTTTATGAATAATATGAAAACCTTACCACAATATATTTCCTTTTTTCCCCATCATAGATTTTGGGTTATTTTGCTGAATATTTTATTTCTACATCTGTTATAAGCTTCACAATACATTGTTATTATTCTTGATTTAAGGAGTTAAGTATCCTGTAAAGAGATCTTTAAGAACAAGAAAGACCCACCTGGTAGCCATTTCTGGGTTCTTTATTCTTTTGTATGTATTCAGATTCCTTCTGGTATAATTTTCTTTCTACTTGAAGGATTCCTTTTAACATTATGAGCTGGTGTGCTGGTGATGAATTCCCTCTAATTTTGAAGGTCTGAAAAGTATTTCACCTCCATGTTTGAAAGATATTTACACTGGGTATTAGGTTTTTTTCTTTCAATAAAGATGTTGCTTCATTTTCTTTTGGCTTGGATTACTTCCAACAAGAAGTCTGTTGCCATTCTTATTTTTGTTTCTCCGTATGTAATGTGTCTCTTTACTCTGCTTTTATCAGTTTTCAGAAATTTAATTATTATGCAGCTTAGTGTAGTTTTATACCTGTTTTTTCCTTCTATTTTCTTGCTTAGGGTTCATAGAAATTCTTACATTAATAATTTTCATCAAATTTGGAAAAATTCTTCCCCCTCCCCAGGACTCAATTTTACATGTATTTGGCCACTTGACATTGTCCCACAACTCAGTGATCCTCTGTTCATTTTTTTTCACATTTTCCTCTATGTGTTTCATTTTGGATAGTTCTAATTGCCATATCTTCATGTTCACTAACCTTTCAATTTGCAGGCTTTAACCTCCTGTTAATCTCATCTAGAGTGTTTTTCATTTCCCATATTTTATTTTTTTAACTCTAGAAGTTTAATTTGTGCCTTTTAAAATACATTCTATTCTAAGCCGGCTCCTGGAAGTTGAGAGGGGGGCGACGGTGACGTGGTAGCTGCCACTGCGGCCGCCGCGGGACAATAAGCCAGGATCTGCCATACCTATTGATTAACTATGGAAGATTATACCAAAATAGAGAAAATTGGAGAAGGTACCTATGGAGTTGTGTATAAGGGTAGACACAAAACTACAGGCCAAGTGGTAGCCATGAAGAAAATCAGACTAGAAAGTGAAGAGGAAGGGGTTCCTAGTACTGCAATTCGGGAAATTTCTCTATTAAAAGAACTTCGTCATCCAAATATAGTCAG